ATACTGTTGTCTGTGTCTATGAATTATTTGATTTTTTTTGCTTAATCCGTTCATCTTTTTCACCCAGCCCTGAAACCTCCCTCTCCTCTGACAGCTGTCAGTCTGTTCTCTATAAGTCTGTTTCTATTCTTTTTTTTGGGGGGGGGGGCGGTATTTTGTTCATTAGATTGCACATATAAGTGAGCTCATATGTTATTTGTCTATCTGACTGGCTTATTTCACTTAGCATAATACCCTCTAGGTCCATCCATGCTGTCACAGAGGGTAAGATTCTCTATTTTTTATGGCCAAGTAGTATTCCATTGTACCATAACTTTTGTATCCAGTCAGCTACTGATGAACACTTGGGCTGCTTCCATATCTTGACTATTGTAAATAATGCTTCAATGAACATAGGGATGCATACATTCTTTCTGATTGGTGTTGTAGGTTTCTTCAGATATATTCCCAGAAGTGAAATTGCTGGGTCATAAGGCAGCTCCATTTTTAATTTTTTAAAATTTATTTAAACTTTTTTTTTAATACTCACCCAAGAATATGTTAGTAGTTGTTTTTTTTCTTTTGTTATTATTATTATTTTTTATTGATTTCAGAGAGAGAAAGGAAGAGAGAGCAATATCCATGTGAAAGAGAAACATCAATAGGTAGCCTCCCATACCTGCCCTGACCAGGGACTGAACCTGCAACCTAGGTATGTGCTCTGACTGGGAATCGAAGCCACAACTTTTCCATGTACGGGACAATGCTCCAACCAACTGAGCCACCTGGCCAGGGCTCTTTTTGAATTTTTTGAGGAAATGCCATACTGTTTTCCACAGTGGTTGCACCAGTCTGCATTCCTACCAACAGTGCATGAGAGGACTCCCTTTTCTTCACATCCTCACCAACACTTACTGTTTCTTGATTTATTGATGAATGCCATTCTAACAGGTGTGAGGTGATATCTCATTGTGGTTTTAATTTGCATTTCTCTGATGATTGGTGATGCTGAGCATCTTTTCATATCTATTGGCATCTGTATGCTCTCTTTGGAGACATGTCTATTAGGTCCTTTGCCCCATTTTTTAATTAAATTGCTTGTATTTTTGGTGGTAAGTTGTATAAGTTCTCTATAAATTTTGGATATAAACCCTTTCTCAGAAGTATCATTGGCGAACATGGTCTCTCATTCGGTGGGTTGTCTTGATTTTGTTGATTGTTTCCTTTGCTGTGCAAAAACATTTTAGTTTTATGTAGTCCCATTTGTTTACTTTTGTTGTTGTTGTTAGCCTTGCCAGAGGTGATATATCAGAAAAAATATTGCTACGAGAAATGTCTGAGATTTTCCTGCCTATTTTCAGGTAGGATTTTTATGGTTTTGAGTCTAACATTTAAATCTTTAATCAATTTTGAGTTTATTCTTGTATGTGTAAAAAGATGGTCTGGTTTCATTTTTTTGCATGTATTTGTCCCAATTTTCCCAACACCATTTATTGAATGATCTTTATCCCATTGTATGTTCTTGCTTCCTTTGTCAAATATTAATTGACCATATGGACATGAGTTTATTTCTGGGTTCCTTATTCTGTTCCATTGATATATATGTCTATTTTTATGTTAGTACCATGCTGTTTTGATTACGATGGCCTTGTAGTATAGTTTGATATCAGGTAATGTGATTCCTCCAACTTTGTTCTTCTCAAGATTGCTATCGCTATTTGGAGTCTTTTGTGGCTCCATAAAATGTTTTGGAATATTTGTTCTAGTTCTGTGAAATATGCCATTGGTATCTTGATAGGAATTGTGTTGAATCTATAGGTTGATCTGGGTAGTATGGACATTTTAATTATATTCTTCCTATCCATGAACACAATATATACTTCCACTTATTCGTATCTTCTTCAATTTCTTTCTTCAGTGTCTTATAATTTTCTATGCACAGGTCTTTTACATCCTTAGTTAAATTTATTCCTAGATATTTTTTATGCAATTGTAAGAGGGTAATTTTAATTTATCATGAAAGTGTAATGTATGTAAAGTATCTAGTACAGAGCTAGAACAGAATTAGTGCCCAATTAATAACTATTACTGTAAATATATAACTTACTTGCTATAGATCTCATGCAATTTTCCTATGCCAAGGGTAGACTTTTCCACTCACTATCATTAGCAGGAAAAAAAAAACACAGGCAGCTGCTTCCATGTGGATTTCTGATCATGTGAGTCACTGTTAAAAATCTTGGCTCCCATGACCAAAAATTTGATAGCTTTGCAAGCTGTCCCAGAAATGGGTCACAGTATTATTTTTCTCTTTTAGTGGGAAGATAGAAGGATGAAGCTTTTATGTGTGAATATGTTAACCTCCCTCCTTCTTATAAACTTAAGATCTTCTAGAAAGAAGGAACTATGTTGATTGTAATAATGACCACATTCCTGTGTACAGGAAAGTGCCATTAAACTGTAAAGAATGTCCCCAGCCAACTATCCTAGTTCCAAAATAAAGGAGGGGGTTGTCCTCATGTTTGCCCCAAAGCCAAAAACCTAAAGTCACAGAGAAAACATCACCACAGTGGTAGACGCTCTCCTGAGTCAGAAAAAAGGGGGAGATATCCTAGCTTCTTCCTTTTGCTCACCTTCTAATCTCCTACCAGTCCCTTCTGTTGGCCAAACATGGAGAACCACCTGACAAGATAGCTTGACACAAGCTACAGGGGTAACACTGGCATACCGGGCCCATGGCAGGGGCAGGAAGTAGCCTAAGGACCAATGGGAAAACAACTGAAATCTTCTTTCAGTTTCTTGAAAAGGCCAAGCTCTTTCCAATGTCAAGATATTTACATATTCTGTGCCCTCTGCCTATTATTCTTTTCCTACCACTATTCACCTAGCTGCTTCTTTCTCATTCTTCAGGTCTAAATTTAAATGTCATTTCCTCAAAGAGGTCTTCCCTGATTATCAACCAGAGGAGGTTTCCCTATTATTCTTTTTCTTAAAAAAACCTTATGTTCCTACAAACCTTATAATTGTATAGATACCTGTGTGATTATCTGTATAATGTCTATTAATCCAGGGCAAGACCTATCTGTTTTGCTACCTACTATATTGCCAGAATCTGGACAGTGCCTCGCATGTAGTCATCAGCACTCAGTAAAATTGGTAGCTATAATTATTACTATCTATTATTTTTAGCAATAATTGAATAATCAAAAGGAGATATCAGCCCTTTGGAATATATACTAATTTCTTTCTGATGCTTCTCTATTTTTTTCTTCCTAATATTTAGTTAACACAAGTTGTAAGTTCCAGTTCTATAAATACTTTTTAAGCATTGTCTAGAATATCAAATTTCTACTTCTTGAGGCTTCAAAGTTCATTAGAGGAAAGTTGCTACATTCCTTGAACTGTCAAAACAAAAACTATGTTGGCAAACTTGGAATACATAAATTCTTTTCATCAAATTATCTGTAACTGAAATGAAAAGAATCTGTGCAGGAGAGCCATTTATCATCTGCACAATCTGTTTATGCTTCATACATTCTGGTTGGGGTCTTTTGATTTTTGTTCTTTAAAACTATTGAATGATACATTTTTGGCACTTCCCAGAAGATCTTTATTTTTGTTCTGCACTCATTTTTTTTCCTCAATAAAATTGAGCTCCCTTTTCTTTCTTAGCGTTTTGTTCTAGTTGCCACATGTGGAGTGGAGGAATGCCCTACCCTTTGTAGATAAAATAAATCTGGACTCTACATAAGGAGGGGCTGTTTTGTCTTTAGAGACTTTTTAAAAAGTTGTTGACAGTATTACAGATGTCTCCCATTTCGCCCCTCACCCAGCCGGTACCCACGCTCCCAGGTCTTTACTACTCTATTGTCCATGTCCATGGGCTTTGTATATAAGTATAAAGTTCTTTGGTTTATTTTTCCTTTTTCCTCCACCTTCACATCTAGGTAGAGACTTTGTCTCTAAGATTCCCAGGCTTTCTTAACCTGGGCTTCTCAACCCCATCTGCCACTATCTCTCATGTTATCATTTGTGTGTGTGTGTGTGTGTGTGTGTGCACACATACACACACATACACACACACACACACAACTCTTGCAAGTTCAGGAAGGGAGGAGCTGGGAAAGTCGACAGGCTGGTTCTTTAGCCAGCAGAGGGAACTAAGGTGACCATCTTGGGCAATCATCATATATGGAGCTAAAAGCCCATTTACAGGTTCATTTTTACCAACACTATAAGATTTACCCATCGAATATTTATTGAATGCCTATTACGTGTTGGAAACCATGCTAGGGCTAGAGAGTCAATTAGAATAAGATGCAGTTCTTGCTTTCAAGGAGAGCACTCTGCAGCACAGGGAGTCAGGCAGGTAACAAACATGTGTGTATGCATTTCAGCATGCACATTTAACTTCATTTACCAATGCCACTTAAAGTTCGACTTCATAAAACAAAGGCACTAAGAGTTCTGTATTACTGGGATTTAAACAGTACAAATAGTGACAGCTTTGTAAGTGTAAATTATATACATTAAAATAAAACAATTAGAGAGTTTTTCAATATGGGAACTATACAAATGAAATAAATGGCAAAAAGGACCTTCTAGGAATATTGTGGATTATTAGAAACTTTAGGACGTAAACAACAAATCTGAATATTCAGACTTCTTTTGCTGTTTCATATTTACCTATTTTCTGAGTCAAGCTACTTGACCAAAAGGTCTGATTTAGGAAAGCACTTAGCTTTATAGCAAAAGTTTCCCATCTCCAGTTACTACCTTCAAAGGAATTGACATTACAGTGCTGATGTAATCTGCTGGTTCTCTCTGAACCGTGTGCAAAAAATGTCAACCCTTTGGAAAGTCAAACAGGTACCAGAAAATGGAACAAAAATGTACAGTTCAATAAAGTATAATGTTAGATTTTCCCAATCTAAAATTAATCAGTGAAATGAAACATGAACTGTAGTTACTTGGTCTCAGGAAACACATTTGAGAATTCCATTATTATTCTCTGCTCATCTTCAGCCACAGACAGGGATTTTGTCAGCCACCATGCTGTTTACCTTGTGGATGGTAGCAGTGAAATAACGCAGATGGACTTGCTCAGAATTGATAATGAACTGTGGTCCCAACTTTCCTACTTTTCAGATACAACCAAAACTTTGTCTGAATAGAGCAATAGATCAAATGAATGAGAAACTTCCAACAGTGGCAGGAATGTCACCATAGCTGTGACCTGTCTGATCACCCAGCGGATTTCATCCTGGATAGCTTTCTGAGACTGTTCTCCAGGTGTGCTCTCATCTTTGGCGGTCTGGTCACAATTAGCATCAAACTGCCATCTTTCAAGGACTTCAGCACTTTCAATATTTGAGATGACTACCACCAGTTTCCACACTACACACTTGTATAACCAATCTCTTAGTTGTTCCACCACATTGCTTAGGTATTTCATGAGCTCAGGATCACTGGTTACAAGCAAGGTGAGTCCACATTTCTGCACTCGAGTAAAGGTTTCAGATGGATAAATGCCACCCTGATGTAAAATGCTGTGGATGCCAAGTGAGAAGAACTCGGGCCCGATGTCGGCGCTCCAGCACAGGATGAAGCCTTACTCCCCAGAGAGCTGCCCCGGGATGCCAGGCCAACAGCCACAGTGCACGTCCACTACACACCATGACCGCAGGCTCGCAGCAGCTATCCCCCACCTCGTTTCAAAAGTAACCAAATAACAAATATTTAGAATTCATTATGTCAAATTCTCTAAGAAAAGTAAACACAAGGCAGTATGGGAAAAGGCCACTAACCCAATCTTTGGGGTGATGAAGAGGTAAGAGTAGGGATGCCACAGCAAATGTTTCAAAAAGGTGGTGCTTGAGCTGGAAGATGAGTAGGATTTTCCTGGACAAAGAGTAGAAGAATGTTCCAGAAAAAAAAGGAACAGTATGTGCAGAAGTTCATAGCAATGTGTTATGAAGGAATTATTAGTAATTTAGGGCCAGGGCCAGGACAGGGAAGGGAGTATGAGATGAACTAAAGGAGTCAGCACAGAACAGGGTGTTGACAGGTTTTATATCAGGTAAGAATCCATTTTCTATGATCAGGTCCTTCTGAACGAACTCAAGTTAAAAGGAATTGATGATCTGTATGGAAAGAAGACAGACTTTTGGAGTCAGGCAACTTGGGTTTGAAACTTGGTTGAACCATTAGTTTTCGTCCTTGGCAAAATTACTTAGCCTCTTGAAGCATCAGTTGCTTCATCAATAAATGGACATCATATCTGCTCTAAACATTATAATTAGGGTTAAATAATATAATACATATAGTATCTACTGCACTACATGATATAAAGTTAAATCTCAACTATGATAGAATAAACCTCTATAATCAAGAATATTCAGCCCCTGCTGGTATGGCTCAGTTGGTTGGGCATCACCCCATGCACCAAAGATTGCTGGTTCAATTCCTGGTCTGGGCACATGCCCAGGTAGAGAGCATGCAAAAGGCAGCTGATCAATGTTTCGTTCTCACATTGATGTTTCTCTCTCTCTCTCTCTCTCTCTCTCTCTCTCTCTCTCTCTCTCTTTCTCTCTCTCCCTCCCTCCCTCCCTATCCCCTCCTGTCTCTCTAAAATTAGATTTAAAATCTTAAAAACAACAACAATAACACAATATCCATGGAAAGCCTTGAGTCACATAGTTAAGTGAACACAAACTAGTTCTGGTTTGTCTCCAGCAACCTAAGAGACATTTATCCTGCTTGGACTATTTGTATCCTTTTTGTTTGGGCTCTTTGTTTCTGTGCTTTTAAAAAATATATTTTTTTATTTATTTCAGAGAGGAAGTGAGAGGGAGAGATAGAAACATCACTGATGAGAGAGAATCATTGGTTGGCTGCCTCCTGCATGCCCCCTACTGGGGATCAATCCTACAACCTGGGCATGTGCCCTTGACCGGAATTAAACCAGGGACCCTTCAGTCCACAGGCCAATGCTCTATCCACTGAGCCAAACCAGCTAGGCCTGTGCTTCTTTAAAAGATATATTTTTAGGAGAAACTTAAGATGGTGGCATAGATAAACACCGGGAAATTGCTGCCTCCCACAACAACTTCAAAAAAAACAACATAAAGACAGAACGGACAGCATCCAGAACTACAGGAAAGCTGGCTGAGTGGAAATTCTACAACTAGAAGGAAAGAAAAGCACACTGAGAGCCAGAGGAGCTGTGGAAGTAAAGTGCAGAGGTACGGAGGCTCGCGCGCGCAGAAAGGGGCTAGTACCTGAGGATGCGGCTGTTTTTTAAATCGGGAGGAAGACACAAGCTCCCACTGCTCTGAACTCCGGTTTCGGGAAGTCTCTGGGGACCCAGGACTCATACGGGGAGAAACTGGACTGTCTGGCAGCGGGCAGAACTTGGAACTTGAGGTCGGCTTTCCCTCAGAGGTGCTTGCAGCAATTACCAGGACACTGAGACGCGCGGCCCCTTAGGGCAGGGCTGAAGATCCACCATAGCTGCTTGCTCCGCCCTTTGGTTCCCTGAGACCCCGCCCCACCCAGACTGCAACAGAGGCTTTTGCATATGAATGCCCTGGCCCTGTGCAACCTGAAAATTACCTAAGGAATTGCAGCTGGGCCAGACAGACCCAGAACTTCCAAGAGAAGGCCCATGGCCCCACAGCGGCTTGCATTGCTTCACAGCTGGGCCTCATCAGGGTACCTCCAAACTCCAAAAAAAGGAAGGGGAATCTGCAGTTCTCTTCGTAGCTCCTGCTGTGTAACCTCAGGCAGAGGCTAAATTAGCACCTCCTTAGATCCAAGAGCCAGTGTACCCAGTGGTCAGAGGGGGACCATCCAGATTACAACTCCTCAGATCCATAAGGGACACACTCAGGGTGCAGACTCAGTGAGCACCAACGCCCCACTGAAGCAAGTCTTGCCCCAGAAGGGTGTCTTCAGCACAGAAGTTCTCCCACTGCAGACACAGCTGATTCTCACTGCCAATTGGCCTGGAGGTCAATTCCTCCCAGTGATCCTACAACAATCAAGGCATAACTACAATAAGATTGTGCAAAAAGCCCACAAGGGGGTACACCAAGAGTGTCCACCTCAGGTAACTGGGGAGGCTGAGCCACTGGGCCCTACAGGACACCTAGCACACAAAACCACTCTACCAACACAGGGAAGCATAAAAAATGCGGAGATAAAGAAACAGGTCACAAATGACAGAAATGGAGGAAAGCAAACGACTGGATATAGAGTTCAAGGCCACGTTTATAAGGTTTTGCAAGAATTTTATGGAAACCGCCGATAAATTTAGTGAGGCCCTTGATAAATCTAGTGAGACTCTCGAGGATATGAAAAAAGACCAACTAGAAATTAAGCATACACTGACTGAAATAAAGAATAATATACAGAGATCCAACAGCAGACAAGAGGATCCCAAGAATCAAGTCAAAGATTTGAAATACGAGGAAACAAAAAAGACCCAACCGAAAAAGAAAAAAGAAAAAAGATTCCAAAAATATGAAGATAGTGTAAGGAGCCTCTGGGACAACTTCAAGCGTACCAACATCAGAATTATAGGGGTACCAGAAGAAGAGAGAGGGCAAGATATTGAAAACCTATTTGAAGAAATAATGACAGAAAACTTCCCCTACCTGGTCAAAGAAATAGACTTACAAGTCCAGGAAGCACAGAGAACCCCAAACAAAAGGAACCCAAAGAGGACCACACCAAGACACATCATAATTAAAATGCCAAGAGCAAAAGACAAAGAGAGAATCTTAAAAACAGCAAGAGAAAGACAGTCAGTTACCTACAAGGGAGTACCCATACGACTGTCAGCTGATTTCTCAACAGAAACCATGCAAGCCAGAAGAGAGTGGCAAGAAATATTCAAAGTGATGAATGCCAAGAACCTACAACCAAGATTACTTTATCCAGCAAAGCTATCATTCAGAATAGAAGGTCAGATAAAGAGCTTCACAGATAAGAAAACGCTAAAGGAGTTCATCACCACCAAACCAGCATTATATGAAATCCTGAAAGGTATTCTTTAAGAAGAGGAAGAAGAAAAAGGAACTCTTACCATTTGCCACAGCATGGATGGAACTGGAGAGCGGATAAATACCACATGATCTCACTCATTTGTGGAATATAATGAACAACATAAACTGATGAACAAGGACTGACCCAGAGACGGAGAGGCATTGATTGGACTGTCGGGCCTTGGAGGGAAGGTAGGGGAGGGCGGGGGTAAGGGGGAAAGATCAACCAAAGGACTTATATGCAAGCATATAGGCCTAACCAATGGACATGGACAACGGGGGGGTGAGGGCATGAGCGGGGGGGGGGGGGGTAGAGGGTAGCGTGGGGATAAGGACACATATGTAATATCTTAATCAATAAAAAATATATTAAAAAAGATATATTTTTAGTGATTTCAGAGAGGGAGAGAGAGAGAGAGAGAGAGAGAGAAACATCAATGATGAGAGAGATATATCCCAAACTAGGGAACAAACCCATATCCCAGGCATGTGCCCTGACCGGGGATCAACCCAAGACTTCCTGGTTCAGAGGTTGATGCTCAACCACTGAGCCATGCCAGCCAGACTGTCTCTGTGCTTTTAATGGTAACATATATATTTCACAATTTGGTGCTATTTTACTGCCTAATAAATTGAGTTCTTTGGAAGTGAACTATTATATCCTCAGACTTATTCTCATTTCCTTTATGCCACAGATTTTTGGGAACAGACTCCTATGTTGAAATAGAAACATGGCTTAACAACAAACAATTTGAATACCCCTCAGTCTGGAACTGGCTAAATAAACTTGTATCTTTATGCTGTGAAATACTATGCAGCAGCTAAAAGACATAGCTCTCTATGTACTAACATAACTAGGTCTCCAAGACTTAGAGTTAAATGGAAAAACAAGCTACATGAAGATGTTTGCAGAATGATACCATCATTGTTTATAAAAAAATATACACATACATAATTAAACAAAATTATACGCTAGGGTTGTGTATGTAGTGTATAAATGCATAGGAAAAACTTTGGAGGGATACACACTAAAATGACAAGGGGTTATGTATGGTGACAAGAGAAGGTTTGTCAGGATGGGGAAGGGTGAGGAAGGACAGTTGTCCAAGGAGACATTAGCCTTTTCAGAAACACTTTAATTTTTTACAAGTAATACTTCCATTGTTTGTGTAATTCAAAATTTGTTTTCAAAAACGAAACAAAGAAAGAACAAAGACTTAGAGGTTGCATGAAACTGGCTCAAATCCTGGCTCAGCAACTTGTTAACTCTACGACTTTTGGGAAGACCTGACCCCTCTGTCTCAGTTTCTTCATGAGCAAATCAAGATACCACCGCCTGTCTCGTCTCATTGTAAAGACTAAAAGTAAAGCTCCCTGCACATGATCAGCACTCCTATGTGTTAGTTGTTTCTTTCCCCTATTCTGACTCCAATGGCTCTTTCTTTCCACCTGAAACAATTTTTTTTTTCATTAGAAAAACCAAATACAAAGGGATGAGGTCACTTTATCAAGATCAGACAGTTGGTTAATGTGCGAACAAGGGCTGTCACCAAGAAGTACCAGGAGTTAATACCACATGAGTTGACAGTAAACAGATAAATTCTTCCCCCTTTCTCTCTCAGGACTATTTTGAGATACAATTTAAGTGACTTCCTGGAGGATGATCCTGTGGACATGAACACTCTGTCTCACTTTGCAGCTGCCAACCTGATAACATAGTCTCACATTGGCTCCCCCTTTGCTTTTGCTTTTTTAAAAAAATATTTTTATTTACTTCAGAGAGGAAGGGAGAGGGAGAGAGAGATAGAAACATCAATGATGAGAGAGAATCATTGGTCACTGCCTCCTGCACGCCCCCTACTGGGGATTGAGCCCACAAGCCCGGTGGGCATGTGCCCTTCACTGGAATCGAACCAGGGACTTTTCAGTCCTCAGGCTGACACTCTATCCACTGAGCCAAACCGGCCAGGGCGGCTTCCCCTTTTCTGCTACAATCTCCTTATCCCTCTCGACTGGAAATGCATTCCCTAATTCAGGAGAAGTACCATAATCTCCTTGCCTCAAGCTCTGCTTATTAGGTAACCCAAGCTAAGGCAATACCACAAAATTCATAGTCAAAATTATGTCAATTTCACCATAATTGGTAGCTTTTCCTCACTTGGGAATCCTTTCTGGTTTCTCATTCAGTTCTATTCTCAATGTGTGACTTTGGGAAAGTTGCTTAATCTCTGAGCCTCATATTCTTCATGGTATTATGGAGATAATAATGATGCCTATCTCATGAAGAGTTGGGGGAATTAAAAGTAAATAATGATTTAAAATCACTTAGTATAGTTCTAGGCATGTAGTAAATGCTCAAAAAATGTCAGTTTTGTTATTATTATAATAAAAATCAGTCTTATTTGCAACATCATGGAGCTCTAGGGGAGATGGAAAAAGGAAAAGGGGTTCACCTACAAATACATAGGGAAGTATGTTCACATACCTATGAACACATGTGATCATGCTACACAGTAAATGATTATTTTCACCATGGACACAAAATCTAACTCTGAAAAGAGAAGTAAACTTGGTATGTTTAAGCTGAATTAGGATCCCAGTGGTTCTAGGCTTCGTTGAACTTTCTCATCTGTAGCTTCAAGGAGCTAGCACAGCCCAGGGATGGCCAGGCTTCTCTCTCTGAAGCTCTGTCCATTGATTTTCAGTTGTGCCTGGGGTTCCCAACAGCAGATGGCCTGCCTCTCATATCTTGCCATCTTTTTTTAAAATATGTTTTTAAAATATGTTTTCATTGATTTTATTTATTATTTTTTAAATTTATCTTTATTGTTGATGGTATTGCAGGAGGTCTCTTTGTTTTTTCTTCCATTGGTCCCCCTCTACCTCGCACCCACCTTTCCCACACTATATGCATATAACATTCCTGGTTAATCTCCCCCTACCCCTGCCCTTGCTCTGAAATTCCTCCGTCTTGTTTTCATTGACATTAGAGAAAGAGGGAGGGAGAGTAAGGGAGGGAGAGAGAGAGAGAAACATTGATGAGAGAGAAATACCAACATTGATCTCAGCTGCCTCTTGCACACCCCCTACTGGGAATCTAGCCCCAAACCCAGGCATGTGCCCTGACCAAGAATCAAACTGGCGGCCTCTTGGTGCATAGGTTGAAGCTCAACAACTGAGCCACACCCACCTGGCCCACCTTTGGTCTCAGTCTCTCAATTGTGTTGTTTGGGGCTTTTACTTGTTGATGTGGATTTAATTTACTTTAGTCTCTGGCTGCCAAAGGTTTTGGTGCTTTTATTATTTGTAGGGAACTAGATCAACTACAGCCATCTCTTTGCTGGGTATAAGTTTCACAGTAGTGGATGTGCTGCCGCTGCCTGCTGCTCCCCCGGTTGCAAGTCTCTAGGGCACTGATGTGACAGAAGTCGAAGTACACGTCCGAGTGCATGTTGGCAAACTCGTGAGTGAGTTGCACACTGCAGTCAGTCAATTCTTGGGATTTTATGTGCTTCCAAGGATGGGTTGTTCCTGAGTTTTGTGGTGCTAAATTCTGTCTCTGCCTTCTTGTTAGGAGAGAGCCTTGTTCCTCATATGGTTCATTCTGACAGTTTCGTGGCATTTGTCCTCCTCGGCCCTCCTGTTCTACTTGTGGTGTCAATTTTCATTAAAGTGGTGGTAAATGAGCTTTAGGGTCGTTTTTCAGTCAACTTTTCCTCCATCTTGGATTGATCTGGTTTTAGCTAGCTCTTGTTAATTTCTGTGACAACTACAGGAATTTCCTGCCATAAACTGTTTCCCTTTGATCATGTGTGGAGGTGGGGGCTCTAGTGCGAGGACCTAGCAGCTTATCTGCCTGTGACGTCCATTCCTACTTCCTCATTGCACTTGTCGAGAGCCTTCCCTAACTTCTTTCTATCCTGCCTCTTAGAGTTCTGCCTATCACCATATTTATTAAAAGTACCTTGGTCAAAAGTAACTTGAATAAGTTTTATTTGCACCAGTACCTATTTCAGTCTGGTTATGCTGTTCATATGCAACTCAGAGGGTTCACTTGTTTTGGTTTGCATTCAATTTTAAGGCATTCCCCCTACATTTGTTGATTTTTTTAAAATATAGGGTGGGGCAAAGTAGGATTACAGTTGTTCACATGGAAAATAATACAATAATTAATAAATAATAATACAAGAATAAACTATGTTTCATGTACTTATAACTGTAAAGCTACTTTTGCCCCACCATGTATGTATAACATTAGCATGCTTCCAAAAGTCAAAACTATACAAAACTGTGTACTCAAAGAAGTACCAGGTATTATTCACTCCTCTATCCCACCCCATTTTCCCCACCCTTAATTGGCAACCAATTTTATTTAGTGCTTGGCTTATCCTTCCTGTTATTTTTGCAAAATAATTTTTAAAACTATAAATGCAGGATGTTTTATTTCCTCGTTTCTTTTTTTGTTTGTTTGTTTTGTTAATCCTCACCTGAGGATATTTCTCCATTGGTTTTTAGAGAGAGTGGAAGGAAGGGAAAGAGACAGAGAGAGAGAGAAACATCGACGTGAGAGAGACACTTGGATTGGTTGCCTCCTGCAAGGGCCCCGACAAGGGCCAGGGATCAAGCCTGCAACCGAGGTACTTGCCCAGGGCCCTTCAGTCCACAGGCTGATGCTCTATCACTGAGCCAAACCAACTAGGGCTCCTCATTTCTTATAGGACTCCTCATTTCTATAGATATTCTTTTGTGCTTAGCATATCCTAGAAATCATATCCGTTCATAGAGATATGCTTCTTTTGAAAAACACATGGCTATATAATACCACATTGTATATTATTATCAGAGTTTATTCAACCAATTTCCTATGTTTAGCATTTAGGTGGTTTGCAATATTTTGCAACTACAAATAATGTTGCCAAGAATAACCTTTTGCATATGTATTTTCATACTCTTGGAGGTGCACTTTTAGGGACAATTCCTAGAAGTGAGGTTACTGACTAAAAGGAGAAAGGCATATGTAGTATTGTTAGGTATTGTCATATCCTCCTTGAGGTGTTTTCTGGCACCAACAACCAATTCTCTGATTTTCTAGACACCAACTGAGTGTCCAACAATTTATTTCAATTCTGACACTAACTATGCTCAGCGTAGGCCCACAGGTTAAGGACTTAGTCTATAATATGGCTCTCCTTTCAGAAGCTGGTAGGAACTCCTGGGCCACCTTCTGACCTAGGGCTATTGGGGGTGTCCCACACCCCCTCCTCAGGTTTGATAATTTACAGGAGTGTCTCCCAAACTTAGGGAAGCACTTCATTTACCTTTACCAGTTTATCATAAAGGATACAGCTCAGGAACAACTCAATGGAAGAGATGCAGAGGGCAAGGTATAGGGAGAGGGGCACGGAGCTTCCATGCCCTTCCAGGGCATCACCCTTCCCGCACCTCAACGTGTTTAGCAACCCAGAAGCTCATGAAACCTCCCTATTCAAGAATTTTAATAACCATTAATCTCCAGCCCCACTTTCTTCCCCTCCCCAGAAGTCAGGAGTGGGGCTGAAAGTTCCAACTTTTTAATCACTTGGTGACCAGCCCCATTCTGTAACCATTTAGGGGTCCCAATCTAAATCACCCATTAGCATAAACTCAGTTGTGATGTAAAGGGGCTTATTATAAATTACTAAGTACACTCCAGTCACTTGGGAAATTTCATGGGTTTTAGGAGCATTGTGCCTGGAAACCTCACACAAAAACCAAATATATTTATTATTATACCTCAGCCTTGTTAAGTCTTAAATTTTTGCCAATCTGATGATTGGATATAGTAACTGTTTCCTTTCAATTTGCATTTCTGTTATTATAAGTAAAATGGTACATCTCTTTATATATTTAAGGGCTAATATATAAACTGTATATATCTCTGTCCACTTTTTTCTGTAGGATTTTTGGTCTCGTTTTCCTTCAATCTTTATAAGTTTTTTTATATTCGGGAAATTAGTACTTTATCTATGATATATATTGCAAATATTTATTCTGAATTTGTTGTCTTTTGACTTTGCTTATAGTGTTGTTGTGGGGGTTTTTTTGTTTTGTTTGGGGGGTTTTTGGCCATGAAAAAGTTTTTAATTTCTGTGTAGTCAAATTTATCAACAAATTTTAATTGCATAACAACAACAAAAACAATTTTAAAAATAAAAATTTTATTTGCATTTGAAATCTAAGTCATATTTAGATAGCTCTCCCCTGCCTCCCCACCTAGGCTATAGAGACAATCATATTTTCTCCTAGTATTGTGTAGATCACTTTTTAAACATTCAGCTATCTGATTATTTAGAGTTTATTCTTGTGTGTGGTATGATGAATTGGTAATAATAATGGTAATGACAACTCAAAAGAACAATACAAAAATGTATGTTTACCCCTACATATATACATAGAAGACACATTAGAATAAAATGCACCAAAATGTTACACATTTACATCTGGTTAATAACATTACATGGAATTTTAAAAATATTTTCCATATGCTTTTCATGTTTTATAATAAATATGTATTACTTTATAACTGGAAAGAAAAACAGCACATTGTCTTTTAAATAGTAAAAAACTGGCCCTGCTATATTTTTTTGTAGTCTGAAAAAATAAGAATTAAAATAACACATAGCTGGTTGAGGTAAAGAAGAATAGAATTAACATATACTTCTCCCTCTTTGTATCTCTGCCTCTCCACATGTTTTTGTTCTCTACCATTTTCTCACTCCCCATGACTTACATGGAAGTAAAATACATGCAGAAAATGAGCAAGCCTTCCACAGCATATTATTTTATTGCTGCAAAAGCTACTTGGGGTTAATTCTTTCATAAAACACCAGTGCAGGTTATGACAAGAAGTCAGAGAACACAGTGCTAATGGATCGTGCAAAGCCTCTAGCTTCCCCCTTAGCTAACGGTCTGCAAACCAGCAACAGGGTGACCTATTGCAAGGCTTTCTCTGCGTTATCCTGGAGGCTGTAAAATTCTAGGTCCTGCATTTTAGCAGTTGAGTGGTCAGAGGAGAATTATTGCTTCCTTTATTTTATGGCCTTAGTGATATGCAGCTTGTCCCCAGAATGTGCAGCTGAAAAATCAATGCCAGATGACTCAGTAGGAGACGGTCTAATGGTTCTGTGTTATTCTCCATCTCCCCAAGAGGAAAGCTATGCAGTGGAGGTACTCAGGATTGTCACTTCCAGTGGTTAATGAGAACGTGTTGAGTGCTCACAGTGTGCTGAGGTCTGCTCTGCATGCATTATCTCATGAAATCACCACAGCAACCTACAAGGGAGGCACTATTATTACATCATATATATTACACAGATGACAGGTGTTGATAAATAACTTTCCCTAAATCAGACAACCTGGAGGCAGCAGAATGAGAACCCGAACCCATGACTGTTTGGCTTCAAAGTCAGTAATTTAGAAGCTATTCTGATGCCACTGGATGAAGTGCCAGTTTGAAGAAATAGCTTAACACATCTCAATCTATCATAGAAACCTAAACATTTAGATAGGACAAGGCCTCCTTTGAAGAAATTTTCTAGCAGCCCTTCTCAATTCAGGTTCCATAAGCAAATTAAACACTACCCAAAAATGACTTGAATATTATATTCTCACTTCTTTAAGGATAATAGTACATAACAGTTACATTCTAGATACAAAGGAGGGAAGTTAATTAATTACATTCAATGGATGTCTTAGGTCATGGAGTCAGTCTCTCTCTCTCTCTCTCTCTCTCTCTCTCTCTCTCTCTCTCTCCCTCCCCTCCCCCCTTCTCTCTCCCTCAGGTTACAAGGGTAACAAGGCTACATTACAATTATCATCTGAATTCTCCCCAGTTCCATTAACAGTGCCTGAAGGAGGACTTTACTCAGGGCTTTACATTGACAATAAAAGGGTAAATGCTCTGTTGCATATTGCTCCTCCACTATTCATCTAAGCAAACACTGATGAAGCAATAGACTACAAACAGTATTTGGAATGCTTCTGGAATTTGCTCTAATCCTCTCTTGTTAAGGGACAGATGAGCTGGCAGGACCAAAGAAGAGTCCCCGCCCTCTCCTGCCTAGAGCCTCTTCTCTATCTGCCTTATTCTTCCTTTGTTTGGTGACCCCCTTCAGAGCTCCCGCTCCCTACCTGAGTGGTCCTCACACACTACCACTTATGTTAATGCAACTGCTCGAAGTGCAAACTTTAATTATAAAGTCTTTGTCAGTACCCTTATTGCCTCTGGCCACTGTTGCTTCTAACTTCCTATTCATGAAATGAAGGCCCTTGAAGTAGTTTGTTTCACTGGTGCATGTTCTTTAAATACCAAATAACCAGAATTTCCTTTTCTCTCTCTCTCTCTCTCTCTCTCTCTCTCTCTCTCTCTCTCTCTCACTGTCCCTCAAACTTTCTTTTTTTTTCTCAAAAAAG